TATTTTTTATCCCTTTTCACTTATTTCATTTAAATAATTTTTAAGAATTTAAGCTTTTTTAACATGTGAAAAGTTACTTCAATAAATGCTTCTGAAACACTTTATCCAACATTTCTTATCCATCTTTATTCCAAAACTTAATGTTTCTGATTTTAAATTTGTTTCTATACAATTCAAATAATGTTAAAAACCAAAAATGGTAATGACTCTTAAATAAAAGCCAGTTTGTTTCCATTGTAAGTCATCATATTCTTAAAGACAAGTGCAAGTGATAATTAATTTTAACCAAAAAGTATTTTATAATCATCTCCCCATATTTTGTTAACACAAGTCATTTAACTTCAGACACAGAATTGAGAATGTAAAATAAAAGTAAACATTGAATCAGGATATCAATACAGAAAGATATGCAGTACTCCAACATCTAAATTCAAATTAAAACAAAACAAAAAAATAAATATGACAGCTTCTTATCTACCCTCTCTCCTGCCTGCTGGATTTTAGAATCTTACTTCCCCTTTGCCTATTTTCTTATTTTATTCATATGTATTATAAAAGAATAAATATATTCTTCCTTTAAAAAGAAACTCTGAAAGGAAAGGAAGTGTTCATTTCACTCCTGTCAGATATGGAACCTTTTCCCTCAGTTATCATTGATATTTTTTATTATTTTCATAATTCCTTCTTGATTGTCCATGTCTGTTCTCTGTGCTTTTATCTTGTAACATCATATCTTGATGTCAGACTTTATTCTTCATAGTCTGATTCACAAGGAATTATTAGAAAATACTTATTTTAAAGATCCATCTCCTTAGGAATAATTATACACACAAAAGTCATCTCTTGTATAATTGAAAGTCTGAGAATAGAAGAAGTCGACCATTTTAATGGTTATGTATGTGTAGCCAACAGCATCTGCTTTTTTAGACATTTCAGGACTCCAACCAAGCATGAGTCTCACATCAGAAAAAATACAAGAGCCATCTACTTCCATTGTTTGGGTGTTTTTTATTTTGTATCTTTTTTTTTTTTTTAATTTATTTATTATTATTAAACTTCAAGTTGTAGGGTACATGTGCACAACGTGCAGGTTTGCTACATATGTATACTTGTGCCATGTTGGTGTGCTGCACGTTTGGGTGTTTTTTAATGGTCTAATAAATCATTGATAGCTCTATAGACTTTCCTTCATACCTTCCTACTACCGACAGAAAAGCAGAGTGTTCTTCCATTCTCTACCAGTTTTGTGCTAAAACAGCACACTTGTCAAAACAGTGAAAGCTTCATTTTTCCAGGTGTGTGATCAATACACAAAGATGTCAGAGATCCACGGTGAGAGGAAGGTCATCCTTTGGATGCAGAGTCTGAAAGTTCATGATAGTTCCCAGTTGTATTCACAGTGGATCACTTACCTTAGCTGATAGACAGGTCTGCTAATAGTTTGTAGAATGTGAAAACAAACAGAAATACACCTATGCTATGTGACAGTTCTATTGATACACCTTGAAAGTTTTAGCTTCCACCATAACATCCCCAAAGATAGTCACCCTCTGGGATCCAAATAAGAAGAAATACTCAGGAAAAAAAAAAGAAGTAAAGACGCCCTTAGGAGCAGAGACTCAGTCTTTTAAAAATAACTAGATCTCAAATACAGAGTGAGTTTGACTTGTTATGGGTCATGGAGATGCTTTGCTCTTCCTAGAATTAAACATGCTTCTGCTCTCTAAAAGTACATCCGCATGAAAACAGCACGTATTAGTATAAACGTAAAGCAATATTGCTGGGCATCTCTCATACTCTCCTCCCGCCAGACCCCTAACTTAATGATTTGGCTTTACTTTTTTTAATTCTGGCAATGACAGTGTTCCATTTTATTGTATCTGTAATACCAATTTAAATACTTTTCAGATGTCAGCTTGAGGTATGAATGTGTGTTTTGGAAATTGGGATATCAGAGATGTTTCCCACACAAATGTTGCTGCATCTACCTGCCATATGCCTAACAGCCCTGAAGAGCAGGGTCTTATTTCCAGATTCTTTAGACTTCAATTGTAGCTCATAAATTCTTACAGAGAGGATCTGCATTTCATGTACATCTAAATTATGAGAATTCAATTATATATGTTGCTGAGGGTGGGAAAGTAGAAATCAAGTAGCAACTTAAATCATGTATGCTGATTTTAACATCATTCTGGTCAATGCGCATAAGCTCTGCAATGAACATCAGATGTGAGAAGTTAATTTATTGTACTCAGTATTAGTTCCCTCTTGTGTCTGACAGTGGTACATCTCACCACACACTGGGGGGTTCTAGAGATTTTATACAACATGACATGAAATGCCAGCTTCATCTACAGCTGCACTGAAAAACCGCAAGCTATTCCAAAGCTGGAGGAAATATGTAGCTGTGTTGGAATTATCTGGAGAAAGCATTTTAGTCTCCAATGTGGTGACTAAAGGATTTCCAAAGACAATTTAGCTTCTACGAAATATTCATATCATTTGCCATCTTTAGAACTAACTCCCATGTAAGATGTGGCCCTGATGTATTGATCAAATAAAGGTAGATCAACAGCCTACCTTTACAGAGTCTCTTTATTCTACTAATTTTCTATAAATGGCTTGGTTGCCTTTAAGATGGTGTGACTTCTTTTGTTTGTTTTTTAACTTTTAGGTTTAGGGGCACATGTGAAGGTTTGTTACATGGATAAACCATGTCATGATGTTTTGTTGTACAGATTATTTCATCACCTAGGAATTAAGCCTAGCACTCAATAGTTATTTTTTCTGCTCCCCTTTCTCCTCCTACCCTTCACCCTCAAGTAGACCCCAGTGTCTGTTGTTTCCTTCTTTGTGTTCATAATTTCCCATCATTTAGCTCCCACTTATAAATGAAAATCATGTAATATTTGGTTTTCTGTTCCTGCATTAGTTTGCTGAGGGTAATGGCTTCCAGCTCCATCTATGTTGCCACAAAAGACATGATCTCGTTCTTTTTTATGGCTGCATATTATTCCATCCATGGTGTACATGTACCACATTTTCTTTATCCAATCTGTCATTGATGGGCATTTAGGTTGATTCCATATCTTTGCTATTATGAATAGTGCTGAAATGAACATTCAGGTGCATGTTTCTTTATGGCAGAATGATTTATATTCCTTTGAGTATATATCCAATAATGGGATTACTGGACCAAATGGTAGTTTTGCCTTTAACTCTTTGAGGAATCACCATACTGCTTTCCACAATGGCTAAACCAATTTACACTCCCACCAGCAGTGTGTAAGTGTTCCTTTTCCTCTACAACCCAGCAAGCATCTGTTATTTTTTTACTTTTTAATAGTAACCATTCTGACTGGTGTGAGATGGTATCTCATTGTGGTTTTGATTTGAATTTCTCTAATGATCAGTGATATTGAACTTTTTTTCCATATGCTTCTTGGCCGCATGTATATCTTCTTTTGAAAAGCATCTGTTCATGTCTTTTGCCCACTTTTAAATGGGGTTGTTTTTCTCTTGTAAATTTGTATGCATTCCTTATAGATGCTAGATATTAGACCTTTGTAAGATGCATAGTTTGCAAAATTTTTCTCACATTCTTTAGGTTGTCTGTTCACTCTGCTGACAATTTCTTTTGCTGTGCAGAAGCTCTTAAGTTTAATTAGATCCCACTAGTCAATTTTGGCTTTTGTTGCAATTGCTTTTAGTGTCTTTGTCATGAAATCTTTACCTGTTCATATGTCCAGGATGGTATTGCCTAGATTGCCTTCCAGGGTTTTTATAGTTTTGGGTTTTACATTTAGGTATTTAATCCATTTCGTGTTGCTTTTTGTATATGGTGTAAGAAGGGGACCAGTTTCAGTTTTCTGCATATGGCTAGCCAGTAATCCCAATAAGATGATGTGATGTTTTTGTGGCTTCTCAAAGCAAGAGTCTTTTCTTGATCTGATTTTGGAATAAAATGTGAATTAAGGAAGTGAATATTACTCAAGCAAAGTTCTACTTCTCCCGCATATTATGTTCAAATTTTGGAGAAAGGAAACGGTAACATTTTCAATTTGCCAAGCACCATTTGCAAGCACCATACATCTTGCTCATATTTTAGGATATTTATAATATATTGTGATTACCTTAGTTTGTCAGGGTTGCCATAACAAAGTACCACAAACTGGGTGGCTTAAACCACAGAGATGTCTTACAGTTCTTACAGCTCTGGAAACTAGAAACTCAAGAACTGTAGGGTTCTTTCCATATGATGACTTGAGAGAGATCTATTTAATGCCTCTCAACTCATTTTTGGTAAAGTGTTGGCAATATTTGATGTTCCTTAGCCCATAGATGCATCACCCTGATCTCTGCCTTTTTGTTCACATGGCAATCTCTCTGTGTGCCAGTTGGTCTGTATCCAACCTTCTTTATAAAAGTCCTAAAAAAAGACTATTGTCCTTATAAAAGTCCTTATAAATGTCGAAAAGATCCTATGGATTATAGGTTTGTCTTATTCCAGTATTGACCTCATACTAATGAATTACATCTGCAATGACACTATTTTTAATTAAAGTCACACTCTGAGGTACTAGGGATTAGAACTTCAATATATGAATTTGGAGGGAAGACAATTCAATCCCTAACAACAATTGGCTAACATGGCTTTATTTTCTTTTTTACTTATTATTTGGGAATATTCACACTAAAATGCAAACACATCAGCTTGAAAAAACATTTCAAAGTAATCAATCAGCGAGTTTTGCTGAGTGTCTATTTTTCTGCTAAATATTATTAGATATCGTTAGAGATAAAAAAGAGATATAAAAAAGAACCATTTTCTAAAACAGTCTATCTCCCCACCTAGTAGAAGTGACAAAACTAACCAACAGCAGCAACCTGTTTTACACAGAAAAACACATTAAAACACATCTAATTACAGAACCAAACATCCTACATCTTTTCCACATAATCTGACAACACCCTATTTTTTGTTGTTACTTTTTCTACAGGTATATTTTGAATCAATGTTCCTTGGTCATATTCCTGAAAATGTTCAAATTCATAAGAAAGCAGGTCCTGTTTATGGATTCAGGGGCTGCATTCTAGACCTTCAAGTAAACAACAAAGAATTCTTTATCATCGATGAAGCACGACGTGGAAAGAATATTGAGAACTGCCATGTCCCTTGGTGTGCTCATCATCTGTGCCGCAACAATGGCACCTGCCTCAGGTCAGTACTAGTCTCCTGATTCCCAACCTACATTGCATGACTCCAAATTCTTAAAACAACAAGAGCCAGCAGCATTGTCCTCTGAGAGAGGGAAAATACAAGTCCAGGACTCTCAAGTTTTTCTATGCATCACCTAGAGTATGCACACATGTCGTAAATTCTTGTTTTTCCAAAGAAATGTACATATGGTAGCTCAAGTGACAAGAGATTCTCAGACTCAGACAATAACTAGGTAACTAGACCTGGTTTTGGCAATTTCAAATGCATCCACATTTTTATCTAGGTGTTCTAGCTTTTCATAAATATGAATGAGAGGCTATTATTCATTGGTGATGATTTTGATATATTTATTAATTTTTATATTTATTTTTTATTCGTCTGCCAAAAAAGAATCTGCTTAGATTGCTAAGATTAGAGATGAAGAAAAAATTATATCTGTTTTCTCTTTTTATTTGCAATCCTATATCCTTTTTGCTTCTTGAAGCAGATTTATCATGCTTATAAACTTAAGAAGATTTTAATTAAAATTAATTTTGCTCCACTTCAATGTCTTAACTGAATCAACCCTGAGGGAGTCTCATTTGAACAGTGTAAAACATATTCCCAATTTTCTTCTGTCATTTGAGAATTCTTTATTTTGGGGCTACAAATAATTACAGAATGGAAGCTGAAACAGATACAACTTACAATAATTCAAGTCAAAGAAAAATTGACCAAATCACACAGGAAATATTTTAATTAATTAACCTCAGTATTTTCAAGGGGCAAGTTATCAAGCAGTCAATAATGACTCCATAAAAGTAAATATCTCCATACATCGTGTAGAAAAGAGAGAAATTTTACCAATAAAAACAGGATTAAAAAATGGTAGACAGAAACAAGCTCTGATAGTGATCACTAGAATAGAAAATTTAAAAAAAGAGGGAGAGAGAAAGAACCAAATCGCAAAGACAAGAAACAGAGGACTGGACAGGTATGATAAAATCAAGGTGATGTATTTACCAATCACAGAATGACAGTAATAAATTTGGGGGGAAAAAAAAAAAAAAAAAGCATGGTTAGTGGAAGAGAGAGTTATACAGATTTATACATTGGTACAATAACAACAGCAACATAGACCTATTGAACATAAGTACAACAGATACAGATTTAAAGAACTAAAAGAGAGTAAATCTGGGGGCTGAGAGTGAAGATATCTCCTTGACTATCATCACTTTCCTCAAGGCTTGACTCAACAAGTATTTTGCTTTATAATGGACCCACTAATACCCAATTGTTTTTCAAAATCTAATAATGCAAAAATAATTTAGCAAGGCAACCTTCAGAATCCTGCAAAAGGACTTGCAATTCTGTTGAATTAAGCAAAACAGAAACAAGAAAAAACTTCTCGACTGACGTTGCTAATGTCTGAAATATTTGTGTCATTCAACCTAAGTAAATATTTTCCATAAGGCTTTATTACTGATGAAATTACAGAAGTGACGAGAACTGTGTTTTCTCCCTCCCTATATGTGGTGAACACACTCTCCTATGGCCCTGTAGTCCCCCTCCTGTTGTTCATGCCTTTGTGTGATCTTCCCTCCTTGACTGTGGATGAGACCTGTGACTTGCTTTTAACCAACAGACTATCCGATAAACTAAGGTGATGAGATGTCACTTCCAGGATTAGACTACATAGAAGTGTAAATTGTAAGTTACAAAGAGATTATCTCTTTTGCTGCCTTTGAGGAAGCAAACAGCAGTTTGGGGAAGGCCCACATGACAAGGCACTGAGGCAGCCTCCAGCCAATAAGAAGCAAGGAGTTGAGGGTGTCCCTTGGCTGACAACCAGCAAATATTGAATCCCTCATTCTTACAACTGTGAAGAATTGAATTTTACCACCAACCACATGAGCTTGACAATGGGCCCTTTCCCCAATCAAGACTTGAGATAAGACCCCCAACCTAGTCAATACCTTTACTGCAATGTGAGATTCTTATGCAGAAGACCCAGTGAATCCATGCCCAAACTTGGCTCTTGGAAACTGTGAGTTAACTGTTAGTATGTTCTTTTAAGCTGCTAAGTTGGTGTTAATATTGTTATTCAGGAATAGAAAACTAATACACTCTCATTTCCTGGAAAAGTGTCTAACATTACCAACTCAGAAAAATTGGTAAGGATAAGGTTTATTTTAGAACATTAACTTTCTGATATTTTGTAAGCCAAGTACTTGTTAAATAAAGTAAACCTCTTATCTGCATGAATTAAAGAACATCACATTAATTCCAATCTCAGTTATTGAATATGTATTTAAAAATAACAATAAAGATAATCATCCTAACAGGATATATGTAAGCAGTCCTAGATTTATTTATACTTTATATATTGATTCTCTTAGACTTATTCCAACAAACACTGTCTGAGAGCCAACTAAGAGCTAAAGTATATGTAAATCAAAGACGTATATTCAAAAAACATAAAGAGTTTTTATTCTAGTGTGGAAGCTCTATCAGCTCTTCAGGACTTAAGGTAAATTTTCCCACAAAAAAAATTGTATCTGTCAGTCTTCATCATGTACATTATCTCGCCTTCCATACTCATTTCTAAATCTTTCAACCTCTCAACCACAACTCCAGAGAAATCTACTGGAATGTCAACTGATTTGGCATGCACTATTTAAAGGCTTGCAGATCTGTATGTCCCTTTATATTGCTGGCCAAATGGAGATGTAGCAGTTGTGTATCATTAAGTATAACACTTATTCACATCTTATGAACAACATGCTTTCTATCTTGATTGCCAGTGCTCAACTCCTGTAAACTACTACTTACACTGTTGCATATAGGACATGCTGCTCCATAGCAGCTATGACTTATATTCCCACAATCCCCTTGTGTACTCCAACACATGATACACTGGAGTTGGCCAGTTCCAGAATAACAATTTTTTTTTTTTTTACCTCTTGAAAAGATCCAAAAAGAGATGCCTATAGTATATCAGAAGTTTAATATAAGAGAACGGACAGCTATAGGACCACGGAGGAGATTACCAGAATAAGAATACTGTCCTCCTACCAATACCCAACCCTACAGCTAGCACTCCGGCAGTCTGTGCAGTAATCCAAAAAGGAGAACCAGAAAACGTACTGAAGAGGAACGTAGACTCCCAATGAGACCATAAGCAGTTTCAGCTCATTAAGAAGAACATGTTTCAAAGAGGTAGGACACAGAGGGCTGTCACCATGACTAACTTTCTCCCTCAACAGATGCATACTCACACTTGGCATACACAGAGCAGTGTAGAGTCTTCCAAGAAAGAAATTTAGAGAAACCCTGTGCTACTGAGTGAGCCCATTCTGATTTTGACAAAATGGATCTGAACTGACTTCATGATTTTGGTAACTCACTTCCTGTCTATGTTGTTATCCAAAGCCAAAGGTTTTTTTTCTTTCTGCTGCCACATCATAAAGTGGATTTCTCCAAAATCTTCTAAACTCTCTTCCAGTCCTTCTCACCCTTTGACTTTGTTTTTTTCCCTCAGTCCATGCCATGTGACCTGATCTCACTCCTGAGCCCATCTAGGCAGAGTTCTAAACTTCCCTTGTCTTTCCTCCCATTTTCTCAGAAGAGAAAATTGGATGCAAGACAGCTTTCAAAATAGCAGGGATTCAGGGAGGATGGACAAGATGGCCTGATGAAATTGTTTATAGGCTTATACGTTATATTACTTTACTTTCAAAGTAATAGACAGTTTATGTTCAGAATAAAAGAATGATTATTACAGAGACAGGAAGAAAACCCTTTTACCTCTCTGCTTGCTGCTCTCAAAATACGCAGATACTGATGTTTTAATACTGTAGCATGTATGCATAAAGTTTTTACTTTGAAATACACGTAACAATTCCTCATCACAGTTTAATCGTTCTGGGCCAGGACTCTAATTGAAAGGTTGGGGAATGTTTCCTAATGGGGTATATGAGAACCTTAAGAAAGGGAGATTTTTCAACACACACACACACACACACACACACACACGGGCATTCTAATCTGTATCTCCTGAAAACACATGCCTATTTTCCCCGATAAGTAAAGAATAATAGTGTTACAATATGAGATAACCCCTAAAGAAACCAGCTCTCTACGCAAGAGTGGGGTAGTGAATGAACAGAGTTTCAGAGCCATAGAGTTAGACCTTAGGGTTCACAAAATGAAATGCTGTTACAATGGATATTTGTAAGCAAAATCATCACTAATTTTTGTACCTTGGTTGATCTAGTTTACTGCCGTAAAGTGCTGTTCCTACACTGTCTACAAATGTAATCTGCTTAGAAGAAGACAAATTTCATGTTGAAAAGTATTAAGGAAAGTAACACTTCAGCAGCTTTACTGAGCAAATGTCATTCTGCTTTGAGTACCATCACAAGTTTCTGGACAGTGTCCAATCTTTTTTCATTTTGTTATAAATCTGTACTAGAATTTTCAAACCCCTGTGGTTGCTCATTTCAGAGAAGTCCAAATTGCATGTAGTGAAATTCAGTTTAGAAAGTGATACAGAAGGGTTATTCTGAGTATCCAAATCTCTATGGACTTAAAACAAGCTGTTTCCAAAAGGGCATAGGAAGGTTAGTAAATTAAACGATAATATTTAAATCACTTTCCCCTTTCTGAGCCATATGTTTTTAAATAAGTTAAACAGTAATTAAAAGGAGCATCAGGTTTGGGAATATACCCTATACAACCACGACACTAGAAACTTACATCACTGACATTACAGTAAATAATTATTGAGACACTAATTTTAAATTTATTCTTAATTTTACCAGGACCTAAGCACATATAGATGTATTTTACCATGCATTGAAAGTCAATAATTTCCACATCTCAATGAATCTGCTTTCTACGCTTCTAACTGTGTTCATAGTTTTTATTCATCACTAACCAATGCTATCCTCCATGTTCCAAGGCAGAGGCTAGCAAACATGTTCTGTAATGGGCCAGATAGCAAATAACAGAATTTGTATTGCAATAACTTAACTCTCCTATTGTAGCAGGAATGCAGCCACTGACAAAATGTAAACAAATGGATATGACTGTGTTGTGACAAAATGTAAACAAATGTAAA